TCGGGTGGAGTGAATTCGGGATTCCTGGATGACCTTTGCTAACTTGCCACATTCGTGAAAATTGAATTTTAATTCCTAAAGGGTCTCTGCTGGTTTGCCTTCCCCAACTATCCCTGCTTGCTGCCGGTGGCGCTGGAATTCCTAAATGACCGTTGCTAGCTTGCCCAGAGACTCATCGCGGAATTTGAACTCCCTAAGAATTTCTGCTGGTTTCCGATCCTGAATTTCCCCAAAGAATCTTTGCCAGCTTGCCTCCGGAATGGTCTCTGCTAAATTGTCTCCAAAATTAATTTTTAAAAATGCAGTCTTCACAAGGCATCTCTGCTAGTTTGCCCATCGCTAGCTTTCTTGCTCTCTCTCGTTCTCTCTCGCCCTCTCTCTCTCTCTCTCGAAACATGACTGTGATCTTTGAGCATTTCCTTATCTCGTAAATCGGCGTGCCGAATCGCACGAAAAGCTTTCGCTTTGATCCCCCGATCTTCACGCCAGATTACAAACTACACCGCTAATTCTTAGGTTTGAATTTTTGTATGAAACGAAACCGCGTTAGGACGTTACATTGCTCTTCAATTCTCTGCACTCTCGCCCATTTTTTTTGCATTGACCAGTTGGCTTTTTGTCAATAGTCTAACACGTAAGCCGCCTGATTTATAAGGACCGTCCTGGTCCGTTAAAGGGGCGAGCAAGCCATGGATTCCGTCATACCCCGATTAAGTAGAGTGTTTGTAGAAAAATTTGTAACTTTTGCATGAACATTTCCAAAAATCGAACGGAAAATTTGGTAATTTAGAGATCCAAGGGCACAAACCTGCTCAGCTCGTCGAGAGCTTTCATTAGATACCAAAATCGTAGCAATCGGACGATTCTCCGGACCACTAGAGGGGTTTTTTTGGGGTATCTGTCCTTCGTCCTGTAGATCCGCGCCGGCGACACACAACGCGTCTGCAACACGCAACGCGCTCGTCCTCCCCGCCAGTGCGCAATCGGTTACGATACCTAAAACCAAATCAACCGCTAGAAAAAAATTTTCCATCTAAAAAAAGTTGTACTCAGCACCTTGATCCCTTGGACTTTGAGGTGTGTAGAGATGGAGGGGGTCGATTCATTGCGATCGCAAAAGAGGAGCAGGAGGTGGAGGCCGATCTGCTGCTCGCTCACCAAAACGAGTCCATGCCCCCCGTCCCCCCGGCCGGAGCCCCGCGCGCGCCGCGATGCCGCCACCCACCCTCTAAACGGAGATGGAAAAATCTCTCGTCGCCAGCACCCACCCGACCACCACCGAACCAAGCCCATTGTTTCGATGCGTCGCATTTTGCTGTTTTTTGTGGTTTGAGAATTTGCTTTATAATTAGTCTTGCGTATTTTCGTGATTTTTCGGGGCTTTTTGTTCCGTAAAGTACTCTAGTCTTTTTTGCTGTTTTTGTTTGGAAATTGCTTTCTTTCGGCTTTTACCGTAATCGTGCGTATTTTCTCGAAATTTTCCGGCTCTTCGTAGTTTGAAAAACCACTTTTGATGTTCATACGGTAAATTCGGATTATTTGATTTTTGGGGATTTGTTGCGATGCGTCGTTTTGCTGTTTTTCGGCCTAAAAACACCCTGTTATTGCAGATTCTACCGTATGCATTCTTATTTTCTTGAATTTTGCCGGGATTTCATGCTCGGTGGAGCTTTCCGGAGTCCAAAAACCCCGGTTTACACTTTCCAAGGACTTTGCCGTATTTCCCTTTTTTTGTCTTGGTCGGCTCGTTGAATATATTTCAAGGCCCTTAAAGGGACACATGAAAGATCTAGTCAAGGCTGCGCTACACTACGCTCTAGCCCACCAAACACCGTCGATCCACCCAAAAACCATACGATTCAAGCCAGGGCCAGGGAGCGCGCGCTGGCTCCATTGCAACATCCGCCTCTCGTCGATCCCGCTCATAATTTGCTCAGCCCCCTCTCAGCTCCCCTATGCAAACCGTGAAATTTTTGCTGCGATTCGGATGCGATATGGGCGGGTGGGGGCAGGCGGATGCTCGCTGTACATCTGCCATACCCCACGTATTCCGATTCTAGAGCTCGTCCTCTTTTGCTCGGGGAAAATGAGCGTAACCGTTGGAGATCAAGATCGAAAAAAGCTTTGATAAAGCTAAAATTTCTATAGCGAAAAATACCGACAAGCATTGGCCGGATAGCCGAAATCCCGAGAACGAAAATGCCGACAGTCAAAATGCCGACAGCCATAGACCGAAAATACCAAAATCACTTCCTTAAATGGCTTTTTTCTGTCGTGGATATGGCTGTCGGTATTTTGGGTTTCGGGACTATTTCTGCCGGTATTTTAGCGTTTCCCCTTAATAGCTGTTGTCGAGTTGGGTTCGGGATATTGTATACAAGCCGAATCCCATCACTACGCATGAAAAAAATTGCCAGAAATTGTCAATTCTAACTTGCCGGTCCCTTTAAAGGTACACTAAAGTCTCGTTGGTTTGGTTACCGGCCGGCAGGCCCGTAGCGGAACCGAAATTTCGGGGGGGCCCAAAAATTTTGGCGACCCCCCCCGGTCGCCACTTTTAAAACATCCGAAAATCGCGTCAATAATAGCGCCGCAGGCAAAAAAAATAGCAAAAAAGCGTTTGCTACACTCAAATTCGTGTGAAAACACCACAGAAAACGCGCCGCAGGCGAAAATTTTTTATGAACATTTGATTCTCCAATGAAAAACCAGCGCCGCAGGCAAAAAATTTTGAAAAAATAGGCTTCATATAAGTAAAAACTGTTTGAAAAACAGTAATAAACAGCGCCGCAGGCAGAAAAATTTTTGTAACTAAAAATCATAAGGGTCCCCCCTTATAAATTTTTCGGACCTCGACCGATTTCGGGGGCCCAGGGCCCCTGGGCCCCCTCCTACGGGCCTGCCGGCCGGTAACCGTCCGCGGAATAGCAAACAGGGTTACGGTATTCGCTTGCCGCGGAGCAAAACCGAACCCTGACTGCCAGCTTGGGGCAGCGCCTTGGACCACTAGGCCAAGGGAGAGACGGGAAGGCGAGATGGCCAGGGGCGATAAGAACGGGGCTGGGTTGGCTGCGGCAGAGTGCCCAAATTTCCTACCACCACCGAACTTTTTGAACGAGATTTTAGTGTACCTTTAACCCCCGAAATCCAATGTACATATAACATTTCTGGTCCCCTGGCCTCCGGAGAGTGAACAGGCCGAAATCAGAAAATATCGTTGACCGCGGCCGGGCGCGTTATCACCTGGCCCTCGCTTGCTTTGCAAAGGCCTTCGCGGCAAGCCGTGCCAGAAATAATCCCGGTCGAAAATTTGTACTTTCTGATTCCCCCAAAAGAAGCTGGTCGCCAAGATTTCAGGCGGCGATAGGCGTCATTTGTACTGACTGGGAAGTGCAAATAAAAAATCCGGAAAATCGCTTAGCAAAAATATGCGTCTGATAGAGTCGACGACGGAATTCTGGCAATCAAATTTGCAAGACCAGCAATAAAAAAGTTATGAGCATTTTAAGTTTACAGCACTTTTCTCGCCCCTCCCTTGTGAGCCCCTCCCCAAGGACGGGTGTCCATGTCAGTGGTGGTGGTATTCAGCTAGCCTGCCCCTGGGGCGGAGGGTATTTGGTTCAGCCTCGGTCATGCCAAATTTTTTGCTTTTTGGTCAAAGTCAAGAACTTTAGACTTTTTCAAAGTTTCAAAGTCGAAAAACCCGTTCTCTTAATTTTTAAATTCATGAAACCGATTACGACGTGGTGGCGGGAGTGCAAGTACTGCCCTACCCGTACGCCCGTACGGGAGTACGGGTAGGGCACTAAAAAAAATTCACCTCTGTTTTTTCGTAAGGTAAGCCTACACGCAGTCAATAGTAAAGAAAATGTTCAAAAATTTAAATTTCGGACTTCGAAACTTTGAAAAAGTCGAAAGTTCTTGACTTTGACCAAAAAGCAAAAAATTTGGCATGACCGGGGAGCCGAACCAAAGACCCTCCGCCCCAGGGGCAGGCTAGTTAGCCACTACACCACTCGACATGCGACACCCGTCTTTGGGAGGGCTCATAAGGGAGGGCGAGATAAGTGCTGTAAACTTAAAATGCTCATAACTTTTTTGTATTAAGCGTTTTGCAAATTCTGATTGCAGTTTCGGAATCCCCGTCGTCGACTCTATCAGACGCACATTTTTGCTAAGCGATTTTCCAGATTTTTATTTGCACTTCCCCTAGTGAGGAGCGTTGCGCAGGGGTAGCTCAAGCTCGCCTTCTCGTGCTCTCTCGCTCTCTCTTGCTCTCGCCCTTGCTCAAATGATCTCTGCTATCTGGCTCAACAGCAGAGGCCTAATGCCTTCGGAATCGCTGCTGGATTGCTCTGTAACTCGCGCTCATTCTCGCGCTCGTTTCTGTCTATAGCTCTCTTCTCCCTGTCTTTCATTCTTTCTCTCTCTCCCCTCTCTCCTCTCTCTCCCTCTCCTTACTCTCTCTCTCACTTTCTCGCTCTCTCTCTCTCTCTCAGCCTTCAACCCCCTACGGTAGCTGCGTAATTCCGTTCCCATACTCGTACCACCTGCACCCGCATATTCCCGTGGGTTTCGTGGTCCCAACATGGGTTTTGGGCCCTGGTTCTATGACTCGCCCAAGATCGTGAACACTAGCCAGCAGCTGGAATTCCTATTTTTGCCCTTGGTGATTTTTTGGGTGCGAGAGCGACGGGTCCAGGGGGCGTAGGTAGTCATAAATTTGGCTTTTCGTACATCTTGGACCCAGTTTCAGGGTTTAAAAGAGGCTTGGAAACTTCTAGGAGTGCAGTTCATCAGTTTCTTCGCGTTTCTATCACTAATATCCATCACTTCAATACTAAAAATTATATAGGTTTAATATACCCTGTAACAATCATTCAAAACATACTATTAAAACCTATTCCCCCTATTCTATCAGGTTGGACCGAAAGTAATTACAATTTTTCGAACGCGAAAAAATTATGGAAGCAGCCATCCTATCTTTTCCATATTTTAGCATGATTGAGGGTCAGGTATGAACTTCCTGCACACCCGATTTCAACCTCCATCTTTTGCTACTTTTGAAGTTATGAGGCAAGGACGGTGCGCGTTGTAATTTTCGCTCATTTTAGGTTTCGTAAAAATTTTGTCCGTCAATGTGGCCACGGCTACGTGAATAATTAATCCCGGTTAGAGCAGTAGTAGTACTATACAATGCATCGAACAAAATTTAAATAGGTCGCCTCATACTTCTTTCCTGAACGATTTAGAAAGATGTCCAATTGGGGGTTTCTGGCCTCAAAATGACAAAACCCTTCGTCGCGCGTTTTCTCCGAGTTTGGTGGCTAATTTTTTAAGGTCTTTTATCGATATGTAGCTTGGTTATCACTGTTTCAAGCGCGTACATTTCCTAGGGACAAATCTTTTATGCCGGGCCGCAGAAGAGATCAAACCCTGATTTTCCAACACAATTTTGTTTTGGTTTTCTCAAACTAAACTAATGGGTTTGGGACAATGATAATTGGAGTACCTTATCTACCGTTGCTCTGTCAATGCCCCGTTTTGTCGAAAAAATTCGATCAACAAGGATTAAAGAATGACAACCAAGATTGAATGACGAGGCCTGATCCCGTGTCGGTTATTCGTCGTCACATTTGGTAGCAAAATTTTTACCCGTGAAAGCAGGGCTGCTTGATAAATGTTGTTGTCACAGTGTTCGCAACTAAATGTTTTTCAAAATAGGTGGAGCGCTTCTACATTGGCGGTCGTCAGTGAATTGATAAGCCCCTTTTCATCAGATTCATCCCGAATCGGGATTTTGTTCCATATTAAAGGCAATAACTACGGGATCCACAGCTGTTCGGCTGATTTGGCACCATAGCTAGAAAGATATGATACTGGCGCTCTAAACCGCCAATTATGCAGGGAGGATTCTGACTTTAGAAATTTTCATAAGGCTGGAAGGGCAGAGGGCTTGCGGATGCCGCCGCGCGTCGAGCCCACCAGTGTCTCAAGGAAAACAGGTCATAGAAAAATAAATATAGGTTGGATCGATCCAATATTTTAAGGAGCTATAGTAGCATCTTAGACTCAACCATGGGTGTAAAAATCCTGACGGCCGGGTGGTAAATGTTTTTACAAAACCGGCTTGAAGATCGATTGTAAAGACTTTCGGTCCAGCCTGATATCTTTGTCTACATTTTCATAGATGGAAATTATTCTGTCCTGGCCAAAATATATGCAGTGTTTATTAACGGAAAAGCTCGCAAAAAGCGGAGTTGAGCTTAAAAATTACGCTTAAATTCCACCGTACAACTATCTACAAATTTCCGCCTCCCCCTCCAGAAGCAAATCGTATTTTCCGAAATCACCCCGTGCCCTAGTTTTATAATTACCCTTTCTGGCGGACCCAACCTGAAATTGGCACCTGCTTTTCCTATTTTGCCCTTTCTGGCTCGTGGTGTTTTCTCGAACTCTGGCTCTCTCTCGCTCTCTCTCTGTCGCTCTCTCTCTCTCTCACTCTCTCTCCTCTCTCGCCCACGCAATTAGCGCACTAATGATACCCCAAGGGGGTCGGGCCGTGCTTTCTGTTTTCAACCCTGTAGCAGAGCGAGGACCACAAAAACTGGAGATCAACATGACCGGGAGCTCAGAATCTAAAATTTTTGGCGCTTGTCTAGCTCGCGAAAATCATGAAGAGTATCCTTGGGGAATTTGATGAAATCAGACGTGGAAAACAGGCTACCGGACGTATAGAAATCTATTTGACGTTTTCGGTTTTTTTTTTTTTGATTGTTTTCAAATCCCTATAATTTATCGCTTTTTTAGCTGGAGATTTTCGACTTTCCGGCCCTGATGCTCGTCGGCGAGAAGATGCAAATGTTCGCCGGCCTGCCCCAGCACACACTGCTCGCCCAGATTGCCAATGGTGGCGCGCACCAGGTACGGTATTTTGAGGTGATTTTTCGAATCCAAGCGGGTTCTATTTCCCAATATTCTTCTTCCTCCAACTTTCGTTTTGCTGAAAAACAACCTCAAAGCGTTTTCCGCTTGCAGTCGACGGTGGCTCGAGTTTGTTTCTTGGAATTCCGTTTCTTAATTTTTCCGCCCGAATACTCGCTACATTTTGTATACGTTTTCCGAATTTTCCGTTTAGTACAGTTTACACTATTTTTGAAGCTTCTCTCCTGGTAAATCCACGCTTTTCGCGTCGCGGCTCAAATTTTCGAATTTTTAATCGAATTTCGAGAAAAACTCTGAATGGGTGTAAACATCACAAAACCAACAACTGGCTGGCAGCTTCCGGGTTTTTTAATCGAATCCCCGATCCCCCGGGGCATTATTGAAGTTTCAATTTTTAATTTTGAACTTTATTATTCAACATTTTCATTTCCCACTTCCGCTTCCCCTTTGCCTATTCATCCTTCCGAGTACTCGTGCTCATTTCGCTTATA